GCGCGGTTTAATCCGGAAGCTGGCCTCGTGGGAGAATTCGCCGACTGACCAAGTGCGGCTGGGACATCGGGCTGCTAGCTGCTCGCGCGCTCGCCGCGTGATACCGGCCTGCAAGGCACCTACAACCTTTCGGCTTTTTGGCCCCACTGCGATAAAGGTCTTCCCCCCCCCCCCCTCTCTTTCTTTCTGCCTCTCAACTCCCGGGAGGCTCGTGCGCGCGGACCACGGCCTGTCACGAGGCTGCAAGAAGAGCTATCTGTTTATCGGACGTACGCAAGGGCGGTGCTTTGATTTGCAACCGATCTGATTAATTTCCCAAGCACACCAGACTCGCTTTCCGGGAGAGAAAAAAAAAATAAGCAGCTCGCTCCCTTCTTTTACTTTCCTTATTCGTACTTTAATTAAGCGATGCGAGCAAGGCTCTCGCGGAGCTTTAAGCGCTTGGAAACGAGCGCTGAAAGGGCTCGAAAAAGGAGAAGCGAGAGCAAGAAAAAGGGAGCTACAGCGCCGCGCGGAGCTTTTCATTGTTCACGCCTGCACGCGGCCCGTCTACACGCGCGCGCGCTCACTCGCACAGGTGTGCAGCCTCTCTCGAGCTCGCAATCATGGGATTCGCTCGCCCTTGCGCTACTCGAAGATACAGTAGATAACGAGAGCGTGCAGAAATGCGCTCGCTTGCTCTCTCTCTCTCGGCGATAACCAAATTCAGCCTGCCGAGGAGGATGATATCTATCCGCCTCGATCTGCGCCCGGCCCCTTCAACTTTGATGAATCGAGTTTTTCTCTTTCGCCCTCTCGCGCCCTACTCTCTACCTTTTCCGCGCGTTCGTGATCTTTCGACACTGACATATGTGCGCCCCCCCCCCCCGCCCACTCGGCCTGCGCCTTTTCTTCCCGATCTCCAGGCTTCCCGGAAGTCAGCTGCTTCAACCCCTCCCAATTCCCGTGAAACATTATTCTTTAATTTGGCGGCCCGACCTACTCGCTCGCGCTGGAGCCTCGCTCGTTACGCGCGTGCCGCTGAAAATAATCAATGCCCAAGACGTATAACTAATTGCGCGACAGCTTTACGTGGCTCCATTTTTTCCCCTCCACGAGGCTGCTCCTCAATCTCGTCGAGTAAATCGATGGGTCCGCCGAGGGCTAAGTATTTATCAACCGAGGAAAGCAAGTCAATTGGATTGCGACGTCGCGGTCGTGTCGAACTTTTCGTCGAAAAGAGACGTACATCGCGTCAACGTTATTAAACTTCGTAGAAACAGCGAGACTGGCTCGTTCTCGCCGCGCGACAGTCTCGCGCTTCCCGTGGTATTCGTATCGCGGATACGCGCTGCTCGAGTATACTTGATAAACGTCAAGCGACGCAAAATGGCAAAATATACGTGAACGGGATTTTTAGATGATTTTGCCATGCATGTATTCCCAGCATTGTTGCATATTCACGCGCGTCGCGCAAAACGCGATACGTAAAAGCGAGGTGCAATATTTTGTTCGCCTAGTTTTCGGAGAAAAAAGTAAATAGGTATCCAGAAAAAATAGCAGGGGAGAGAGAGAGAGAATGGGTAGAGTCGAGCGAGGAAGAGCAGAGAAAAGAGAACGAGTACAACGCCGAGCAAGAGCAGCAGTAACAGCAGCGGGGCAAGGAAAAGGTGGAATGGGAAAATGAAGGAGAAAGGCGAAAAACGAAAAAGTCGAGGGTCCACTGAAATGAGGCGTTCTCGAGCGAGATAAATATGTAAATGGCATTGGAGTGTCCCGTTTCCTCTCTCGTTAATCCTGGGGGCTGAGCTTGCGGTGTCCGCTGGGAAAATCACGACGCTGCTGCCTGCTGAAAGCGCGCGACTTTCTCTCTCTCTCTCTCTCTCCCTCCTTCACGCAATTGCGCACTCGATGCTGCTTAACGCGTGTGTGGACGAGTGAAAATTAATGCTCTTAAGAAAGGGAGGATTTGAAACCCTGAAACCCGAAGAGAAAAAGACGCGAGAAAAGAAAGAAGAAAACGGGGCCCGAACAAGCTACAAGAGCAAGAGACAGCCAGACGCTCTTTTCAGCCGTCTAGTTTTCTTCAGGACGGCAGCGCGGCGGCACTCTCGCGTAATTACGTCAAAAATGAAAGAAAAGCGCCTCGAGGCAGCAGCCAGCTTTTCACGCCCGCTCGCGCGCGGATATCCAGAGCCAAGACTCTTCCTCTCCATGCACATATATATATATCACGGCTCGCTCATTCGTAATCTCGCTCTGCTAACGCGCGCGCGCGCGAATAACTCTGCGATAGAGCCCTCGGGACAATCAGACGAGAGAGAGAGAGAGAGAGAGAGAGAGAGAGCGAGAGAGAGAGAGGAGAGAGAGAGAGAGGTGAGAGACGTGGTAAAAAACAATCTTCGCTTCCTATCAAATGTTAGAACCTACTTTCCAAAATCTTACTCGGTCGGTCTCTCTCTCTTTTCCTATCTGCATTGTTCAGCGATACGTTTCGCCTATCCGTAAGAACTGCCGCGAAAACGATGGGGAGGAAAAGCGCTAGACAATTTATTCGACAAGCATTGCGAGCGGCGCGTGCATTATTGGCAAGATGTCACGTGCGCAGACAGACGGACAGACATCTACCGGACGTTCATTACTCCGCACCTAACGCTCTCTGTCTCCCGGTAATTGATGCGCGCGAGTGACGAATCAATAAAACGCGCGACTAATGATCCACGCCACGCTATAACGCTGCAGAGATATAATCTCGCAGTGGCGAGGGCGTTGCAAAAGAACCGGGCTGGTTGATCGCGCGCTAATGCCGCAGGCACGCGGGTAAACGAGAACTTTGCAGTCCTTGGAAACACACACTCGTTTCTTGCGTTACGAGCTTTTATATTCCGTCGAGTATAATTTACCCTCCTTTGCTCTCTCTCTCTCTGTCTTTCAGAGCGGCGTCGTTACGAGCGTTCCGTTCTTCTGTCTCTCTCTCTCTCTCTCATGCGCGCGCGCGCGTCGGTATTGAGAGTCGGATAATGCCTTATAGCGTCGCGGGCTATTTACGAGGCTACAGTAATAAATCTCAAGCCGTGGCGAGATGCAGCAGCACACACGCGGGAGAGGCAGGCGGAAGAAAATCCCAAGAAGCGCGTTCGCGAAAAAGCTTGGCGAACCGTAAATTTCCCAGGCAGACGCCTCTCTCTCTCTCTCTCTCTCTCTCTCGCTCTTCTCCCATTTGCATTTTCACACGCCTTCCCTATCGAACAGCTACGACGACGATGAGGCCGGATTAAAGTCTCCCGTTTCCATGGAGCGCCGTCGCGCTACCATCTTTCTTTTCTTCCTGCTTGTTTTTTTTATCGCTGCCGCTGCTGCTGCCGCTGCCGCCTAGTTCCCCTCGTGCACTCCCTACATTCCGGGAAAAATCCATCTCCAAACTCAACATGTGCTCGGTCTGCGGCCCGAACAATAGGTGCGAGCGAGAACAAGGAGAACGCGTTGATTGAAAATGACAATTTGTCGGCTGGCTGGCTGGCTTTTCGTGACCGCAATATCAGACACGTCCACCGCTAACGCACGTAAAAAGAGGGCCGCTCGCGCGTCCCGACTGCGAGATAATGCTATCTCTGGCTCTGTTCGGGGGAGAGGCCCAAGAGTAAATAAAGCGAGGAGGAGCCGCAGGACGCCGCTGCTCGGCAAAACATTTTCCTTCTCTCTCCCTCTGGGTTCGCGCGCGCCGAGGGGGAGAGACAGAGAGGGAGCTTTGCGTGTTTACACGCCGTACTTGCCGACGGGGAGCAGCGAAAACAAGCGCGAGCGCGAGGGGCCATACAAATTGATGAGCGCGACGGGACAACTTTGCATGAAATACCTGCAGTCGTCATCGAAATTCCTTTTTCCGTTTGGAGCATTACAATGCGCATTTATACGCGCACAGCGGCGGAATTGCCGGGGCAGCGGAGTGCGGGCGCGCGTGCATCATAGTCGGAAATTTGGCGCGCACAAAAGAGCAACTAAAACCGGCCACCCTCCGCCACCGCCACCGCCCCCGCCCCCGCCGCCGCTTTCACGGCCGTTTCCAGTTCTAGCTCGCACTCGTCGAATCACCGTGACTCGGCTTTAAGCGAACGCTCGTTCGCGCTCAAAGGCCTATTACGAAAATGACCATTAAAATAAATTACGCAAACGCTCCAGCTGCGCGCGCTCGGCCCTCCGCCCCCGTCGCCCCTACCCCTGCCCCGACTCCTCTCTCTCTCGCTCTCTCTCTCTCTCTCTCCCCCTTCGCGCGTTGCTGGACGCGTTAAAACCCGGCATTTTGCCTTTGAGCTGGCAGTCCCGAAGCTCACCGCCGTCGACCAATCAATTCGTTCTATATACTTGTCGTGCACGCCCATTTCGAGCTTTGCCTTTCTTTCGACGCACGAAAGCCAGCGAGGTTTTCGAGGCGCGCGACCGCTGAAAAAATATACAGCCGCGGCCACATTTTCACTCGGCGATGAATCATCGAATATTACAAAATCAATAGTGGCGCCAAACGCTTGTCAATTATTTCATCCGAGCTACGCGTTTATAGGCCACCCTGCCCTCCGCTCTTCATTATTAAACCAACTATGCCGGGGCCAGCATTAACGCAGTCCCGTTTATTGCGTATGCTCCTCGGCCGATTCTCGCGCTCGCTGAGTAAATAATAACTGATAAGTTTTGGCTCGCAGGGCGACGCGCTCAATGTGCTTCATTGAAAATTAAATGGTCCGCTGAACAGTGCGATTTCTGCGCGCTCGCGGTTGCCTAACGAACAGCGTCCAATCGGATAGAAAGAGAGAGAGAGAGAGAGGAGAGAGAGAGAGAGAGAGAGTGAGAGTGCCCAAAAAAATCTCTCGTTTTGTTCAAACGGCAGCCGGAGCACGTGTTTTGCAATTAATTGGCTGAGTCGACGAGGAAATTGGCTGCGGTTTTGGGCTTGGCGCGCGCGAGCCGATAATGCTGGCGTCGTTTGGACAGCAGTATGTAATGGGCGCCGTTGCTGTGATTCGCAGGGACCCGTGGGCGAGGTCGGCGGAGTGCGCCTGCCGCTGCAATCGCTCCACGGCTACGGCTCGTTGTTCATGTACTCGGCGACGACGAGTCCCGGAGGAGCCGGCGGCGGCAGCAGCAGCGGCACCGGCAGCAGCGCCGGCTCCACGCAGGTGGCCACGGCCACGGCCACCACCTCGAGCACGGGCGAAGTGACGCTGAGGCTGCGCGAGCCCGAGGACATACCCGAGGAGGTGTTGGCGAGGCTCGAGGACACCGCCACGCTCTCCATATCGCTGCAGGGCGACGCGGTTCTCAGGCTCGGCGCCGCCAGTGCAGGTACATTTTCTCTCTCTCTCTTTCTCTCTCTCTTTCTCTCTCTCTTTCTCTCGAGAGTTGCCTTTGCTCTCCGCCGATGATTTATCGCTCGCTGCGCCTCCCGCGCCTTTCTCATTAAGCTGAAAGGCGGTTTGTCGTCGTCGACGCCGCAGTGGCGATGCTCCATTATCAGAGTGCTGCCACCGCCGCCCACCGCCGCTCGAGATGCAACCACGAGCTGCTTTCGGCCTTATTTGCAAGGCAAACGCGAGACTAGCCTGCGCGCCAGCGCGGCCGAGGCTGCCGTCGGCTCTCGCTCCTCTCTCGGCTCTGTTGTTGTAAGCTTTGGAGAGGTCGCACTCCGTCGGAAGACAAAACGCCAGAAAAAAGATGAGCGTCGCGAGAAAGTCCGCCGCAAGCCACGCGCGCGCACGCGCTCTCTTTCTCTCTCCCCTCTCTCGCTCTTTCGACTTTGTTTCGACGTATCACCTGCACTTACCGGGCTCGGCTGCAATTTTCTCGTTGCTTAATTAAGCGACGCGGCCGCTGCTCCCTTCGCGTTTTATTGTGTTCCGCGCGCACACTTTGTCCAACGAAAGGTCGGCGCCTGAAAGCAGGCACGTTAAAAGCAGAGCAGGCCGCCAAGTGTGTCGTGCGCGCGCGCGTCACTGCGACACTTTGGCGTGCGCTTGGTTTTATGGACGCCAAAGATCGGCCGTAGCTCGGCTGTCCACTGCGCTATTCCGGCCCGGAGGAGAAAAAACCAGCCGAGCCAAGATCGAGTGGCGAAGGCAGCCGGGCAGAGAATTATCGATTTTCGCCGAGCGAAGCGCGGGGGCACGTGTGTGGCGCGCGACGAGTACACGTAGCAGCGGCGGCGCGCGCTTACGACCACGGATTTGCTCGGAGTCACGTATTTGCCTCGGCGAGGGAAGGTTTCTTTGGTACGAGAACACGTATAGCCGAGGCAAAAGAGTACAGCTAGCGCGCGCGCGTTTCGCTCCGCTTCGTTAAAACCCATTCAGTTTTAACTGCAGCCTTGACCTCGCTAATTCCACTGCCCGCTCGCAAGCTCTCTCTCTCTCTCTCTCTCCTCTCTCATCCTCTCGCAAGCCAATTTTACCCCGCAAGCCGGCTGCGGCTAAAGAGCTCGCGAGCGGCGGAGTTTCGTATCGTCGTTGCACAAAAAAGCGCCGGCTTGATCGGCGAAACACGCTGACGAGTGGTTTTCGCTCGCTTTGTCTTGTCTCGCTCTCTCCTTTTTTTATTTCGCTGCTTGAAATGCGCGCCGTCGCTTCCGACCTTTTCGTCACCCCGATCCTTCTTTCGCCGTGCGCGATCGTAAAAGTCCGTCCCGAAACAACGACTCTCTCTCTCTCTCTCTCTCTCTCTCTCTCTCTCTCTCTCTCTCTCTCTCTCTCTCTTCTCCTCTCTCTCTCTCTCTCTCTCTCTCTCTTGACGACGCTTTAAACGTCAACTGCATTTGCAGTTTTTTCCGTTTTACATCGTCGCGATTAAACGGCTGGGGCGCATATATGCCGAAGGCTCGGGGTAAACAGTGCGAGCTACGGGGACAGCGCAGCGCGCGAGGGGCGTTTGTCATGCAGCCGGTGTGCAACGGCGGCGAGTGCGCGGGCCGCAGCGGATTTCAGATCCATAATGCAAACATTGCGGAAAGCTTCGGAAATAGCCGACTGGTTTGCGTGTCCAGCGCGCGTGCCCCCTCCTTACCCATTCACTCGCCTCGACAAAGGATAACTTCATCAACTGGCCGCGACCACAGCGCGGCAACGACCGTTTCGCTCGCTTTACGATCGTCATTCTTGGAAGACTCATCAGCCTCGTTGCCCCCCCCCTCCCCCGTCTCTCTCGCCCTCTAATGGAAGTCATATATTTTATAAATTATATGCTCGGCGTCGGCGAGCTGAGAGCTTTTCATGGTTCCAATCACTTCGCCCCGCCCGACGACTTTTTCACCTCTCGCGGAAAAGTGACACTATTGAAATTGAAATGGTGGAAATAAAAAATTCCATCGAAGGTAGCTGTTTACCGAGGGCATTCAATGCGACTCTCTGCAAAGTACAAGTTTTCGCTCGCGGGGAAAGAAACTCGCGAAAGCTCTTGATTGATTTTTTCGACATTTTCCTTTGCCAGTCTTCGTTTCCCCTCATTCAATTTCCCAGCCGGCGAGCGCCTGCCAGCCCTAGCACCTTGGCACAGCAGCTCGTAAATTATTAATGCTGTTTGACTTGGCATGAGCGGCTAGAACGACCAAGCCAGCTCCCTCCCCTCGCCCCAACCTTCGAAGCAGTATAGCAGATAGATAGGCTTTGATGGCCAAAGCTAACTGCAGGCTCTCAGTGCAATGGCTCTCTCGATGTATCTCTCGCAGGCAGCGGCAGTGGCTATAGGTGCGCGGGGCGCGCCGCGCACGGCGCAGTATTTGGATTCTGAAAATACTCAATGGAGTTTCGTCCTAACTTTGCCGAATGCGGCTAAATACTTTCGAAGGGAATGCCTCGTTCGCCCTCGTCCCTCGCTTATTGAAATTCGCATTTACATCAAAAATTTACCGCGGAATCGGCATTTTTTTCGCGATGTATTTCCAGCGAAATGCATGCTATTTGTCGCAGATATTCAGCGCGGCTCGCGCGCGCCCTCCCCCCCCTCCCATCCCGCTTCACTTTCGGGTAAATTCATTTCGTCAAGAGTCCTCTTTCTTTCCTCGCTTTTTCGTTTACCATCGATAACCCCCATAAATTTGTAAACGGACGCTCGATAAGCTACCCCCCCCGCGGCGGCATCGGCGGCAACTCCTCGCAATCTTATTAGAGGGCAATTTAATAAGAAATTCCTTTGAGTCGCCTTATCTCTCTCTCCCTCCCTCTCTCTCTCTCTCTCCTCGCTGTTGATTTTTCAATAAGGTTTATAAAACTACCTGACCCAGAAAATTGTTTACCTTGCATCATCTCTCGCTCTCTGCTCGCGCGTTCGCTTGTTTGTGTTGCCGAGTTAGACTGATAAAGAATGGCAAACAGCTACGAGCGACGCAGGACTATAGATATCTCGTCAGATTCGCTCTGCAAATGAAGGGACTTATTTGAGAATGACTGCGTGGAAGTAAAGAGAAAGAAAGAGAGAGAGGTAAAAGAACCGTGGAAAATTACTTTTTATATATAAATTTTTTTTTATCTCTTTCAAGTGACGCGCGAGCTCGCGCTATTCGAGATCTTTAATAAAAAGCGAAGACGCGTAAAAGAAGGAAGCTGCCTCGGAGATGGGATCGCAGGTATAGCAGCGCCATCAGTTGAGAAATTAGCTTGAAATATTTGCATGGGAATTTTCTCATAAATTTAAAGTTTGTCGTGGCGGGAAACGGAGGGAAGGCAGTTCGCGCAACGCGCATATACACAGCTGGAAGCTCGAGCTTGCGCTTTTAGCTTCCCGACGGGTTCGACTTTTATTTTTTATTTTTTTTTTTTTTAATTTTTTTCCCAAAGGTCGTCGTAGCGCTGCGACATTAGTCTTGCTTGCCGAGGAAGCGCCGAGGAAGGACTTTGATGTCGCTGGCAAACGTTGAAATTGAAGGGAAAAGCATGATCCGTGCGCTTTGATCCACGAAATTGATGAAGGTTAAGCCGCCGCTGACTTACGGAATTGATAATCGCTCGAGGGGTAATATTGAAAAGAGTGAAGAGAGAGAGAGAGAGAGAGAGAGAGAAATATTAAAGCGAGGAAGGGTCCGCAAATGTTCGATAATAACGTAGCGGTTGCATACGTGTAGAATATGATAACGAGAGCTCGGCGGGCCAAGCTAACGACGTCGGGGCTTTCCGCGAGCTATTTACCGACACCCCCGTTGGGAATATGCTACCCTCCTCTCTCTCTCTCTCTTTCTCTGCCTATATGCTGCTTCGTCCAGCCAACATTTTTCTCTCTCTTCCTCGCTATTTTCACATCGAGATTTGAGTGCTGCGCGTGTACGCGCGTGTTTACAGCGCAAAGATTGTGAAAAGGATTATCCCAACTCTGGAACGCAGATCTGTTCAAACTCATCGCTGCCATGATCGATGCAGTCCGATCCCGCGAAAGAAGGCACATTAGGCGTGTGTCGAATCCGTCCGGGTGACGGCGTTTAATCCAGCAAATGGACGCTCGATCCGAGGATCCCCCATAAGTAAGGCTTTAGTGACCTGGGCGCGCACGCAGTAGTCGTGTCAATATTGAGAGCTGCCACGAGCGAGCGAAAGTGCGCGCGCGACGAGCAAACGAGGGTTGCCACGTAGTAGCGGAGTGCGCGGCAAAAATAGTACTACGACACACACACACACACACACACAAGGGGATGTTATTCGCGCTCGCGCTCTTCTGCAATCTCGATATTGGATCTTGTCATCTGCGCGCGACCATCTATATATTTGTGGATTGAAAGTCGCCATCTCTCGCGGGAGAAAGATAAGAGAAAGCAAAAGAGAACGCCGCGACGAGCTCCAGACGTTTCCGCGCTCTCGCCGCTTTTAATTCTTCCGCCGACGCATCGATTCGTAGCGAAGGAGAGGAGACAGAAACGCAACGACGACCCGAACGATCGCGACGAGGACCGCTGCCGCGAGCCGGCTAGAGCTCTCGCGAATGCAAAGCAGTCCTCTCGGGCGCGCTGCCGACAGGCCGCGACGCCAAGTCCGACGAGGAAGCCCGAAGCGACTCGACATTTCCATGAGATTTGGCATGCATGCGGCCATTTCTAGGCGCGGATCGACGCCGCACTCTGCATTTCTCGTACGATCGGCCGCACCGCCGACACGCAAGTTTCGTCCTCGATGAGCAACTACGCGGCGACCAGCTGGCGCAGCAGCGCACCGCGAATTCATCATGGACTTGGACCGTTCGCGAACCCGACGAGAGCGGTCCGGCCTCCCCCGAGCACCGCTAGCCGGCGTAAACGACGGATCCGCGCGCTCGCGCCGTGCGGCTTAACTTTCACAATAGCCAGATACAAGACTGCGGTACGGAAGATACGGCCGACTTAATATCATTTGCATATCGCCTAGCCTCACGGCGCCCGTTTATTATCGCTGCAGCCCCTATCGAGCCGCCGAGCTTATTTTTCCAACGCGCTCGCGGCGCGGCGTCGCGCAGGAGGGGAGGGTGCCTCGTTCCGACTTGGCGCGGCAGGGTATAATAATCGAGCGCGGCTTTCCGAACGGCGCTCGCTCGTGCAAACACATTGACATTTGAATTTGAAATCGAGCGGAGGGGGGCCCCGATTTCCACGCTCGCTCTTCTCATGCAAATGCCCTCGTTATTGCCCGCGGCGGGGCTGCTCTCTCGTTGCGCTCCAGCTGGCCGGCCAATTAAAGTCGATGAACGCGCCGCCCATTGCGAAGCGAGATGGTCGCGCGCGACCCTCGCGGTTTTCTCGGGGGGCTCGCTCGCCGATATTAATATCCTCGAGGCGCCCTGCATAAACACTCCTCTTTCCACTTTCCTGCTGGCCTCTTCGCGCGCGGGCACAGCTAGCCGAAATACATTCGACGAACTTGCCCTCCATACCCTCGATAATATTATTACCTCGACTCCCTGGCCAACTCTCCCCTCTCTCTCTCTCGCTCGCCCACGCTGTTCCAGTCTCTGGCACTTTTTTTCCTTTCTCCGCTTCTGCCCGCCCGTGCGCTTGGGGATTATCGGTTGGACGTATACGTATAGAGAGAGAGAGAGAGAGAGAGAGAGAGGAGCGACGCCTATACCGCGGGCTGGGATTTATGCAAAGTGAAAATTATCGGCTAAGAATTCTGTGTGCATAGATACATATATACCCTCCGTCGCGCCGTGTCTAACTTTCAAACTACTTTTATTCAATAACTCGCCAGCGAGAAAATGTCGATCGCGCCCCATTGTCATTTGCCTCGAAAATTCGTTCGCAGTTTCGCCAATACAGTGCCGTGCGCCCAAAATCCATCTCCTCTCGTTTGCAAATTATCTCGATGCTAGCTCGCGCTAGCCGTTAATTTTCTTGCTCGCTCCGCTGAAATAAATGTTTCAATTAACGGGGAAGGGGAAAAAAGGAAGAAGAGGAAGAAGAAGCGAAACAGACGAACAAAAAAATAGTTCTGCGTTCGAGCGCAGACCGAAAGCTCCTACATTCATTAGAAAGAGAAATGACGGGCGTAAGAAAAAGTTGCGACCGAGAGAGCGGGAGAAAAAAGGAAGCGGGAATTGGTGAACGTTGATTACAGATGATAGCAGAGGAGAGGAAGAACAATGAAGAGAGAGAGAGAGAGAGAGAGAGAGTGGGCGGGAAAAAGATGGAGCGGGCGGGCGGAGAGAAATTGAAAACGAGTAGCAAATGGAGGCAAAACGTTACACGAGCCACTTATTTGCATCGGAATTTTCGCCCGAGCAATTGGAGCGCAGCAGCGGCAGTGGTAGAGCGCGAGGGGGCTGCCTGCAGCAGCGCGCATTTGCATGTTTAAACTAACCCCCGACACGACAAACGCCGCCGCCGTCGTCGCTTCTGCCCGGCCGTGTCGCATTCTCGCGTGGATACTCTCTCCTTCTCTGGCGCTCGCGTCTCTCTCTCTCTCTCTCTCTCTCTCTGCGTTTGCGCGAGCGCGCGTGTATGCGTCTGGCGTGTTGAGGATCCTTGAATATTTCACCGTGAGCAGAAGCGATTGCTCTGAATCTTCCCTCCTCTCGGCACGTGTCTCTCGTTTCTTTGCTTTTCTTTCTCAAAAAGCGCGTTATCCCACATTTGACTTGCGGTTGTATATTGCCAGCGATCAACTCCGTACGTTTAGAGGCGAAGGCCGATGCTTTTCCATCGCAACGAATGCATACGTTCCGCGTCTGACTTGAGTAACGGTTGTTCTACTGAAAAACTCGAGGCTCCACTCCTCGCGCCGCACAACGTCCGCTACATTGTTACAGCTCGCGGGCCGTTTCATTCGTAGCACCGAAGAAACACGGGATTTCCCATCTCAGCTGCTTCGAAATAAGCTTCAAACGAACACATTACGCTGGTATGGTCGTGCTTCGATCGCGTGTCATTCGGCTGCTCAATCCGTCTTGCCTATCCATTCTGAAGAATTGAAAAAAGGGAGCCCGCCGGAGAAGATATCTTTTAATTGTTTTCAGTGACCAGGTCAATTTGTAGAAAGTACTGCGATTATGTTATATTGAGAAAGCCGAACGAGTCGGAAAGGGGGGGATGTTTT